GCCTTATTAATGTACGTAAAATACATATAAATACCTGTTGGTTTTCGTAATAAAACTGATCTGTTGCCTGGCCCTTGTCTTCTGTTGTTACATCTGCAACCTGGAATTAACTCATGTCCCTTCTGAGATTCGAACCCGCGTCACCCAGTGCTGCAGTCAGAGACGTTACCACTGAGCTATTCCGTCTCGCGATTGACCTCCTGTAGGCCACATTACAACCTGACTGATAGAATTCAGTCTGCACCAAAGAGAGGACTAGACGCATCACACTAGTTACTAGTGTCAAATCAAAATATCCACTACAGTCCTACAGGAGGTCAATCGCGAGCCCGAATAGCTCAGTGGTAACGTCTCTGACTGCAGCACTGGGTGACGCAGGTTCGAATCTCAGAAGGGACATCAGTTAATTCAAGGTTGCAGATACGCCTTGCTGACGAGTGCCAACTAGCACGAAACCTAGGTCCAGGTCTTCCTGCCGATTGCCTCCAACCATCTAATATCATCACAAACAATGCACACCGTGATGGCGAGCTACCTAGAATGGTGGCCACATTACAACCTAACTGATAGAATTCAGTCTGCACCAAAGAGAGGACTAGACGCATCACACTAGTTACTAGTGTCAAATCAAAAATTTCTAACTGGGTTCTCCAGTCTACCCCTAACCCTAACCATATCCCTAAATACTAAACTTAATCCAAAATCCTAACCTTAACCTCAAACCCTAGCCCTACAAAGCAGTTATAGATTTACAGAAAAATCAATCTAGGGAATAAGTAGAATACTGTACCTACCCTCACCAGATCCATAAGAGCGTTCCCTAAACTGACTGTAATATTACTTGACTTTGGCTATGCTAATTTAACTTCTTTCGAATACATACTTACTGATTTTCGGTAGCGAAAGATTACTATCATTTATTTATTCCTTGGGTTTCAAGTAGAGCATAGGGTCTAAATTTATTTGCGCTTTGTTCTCCTTCATCATTTCTGGCTGGTTATGCAAGTGTATTACGGTTTTCAGCTCCTCTTCACATGTACCTTTCCATGTCTCCTTAGAACCCACACCTGACTCTTCGGTTCTCGTTTAGGTTGCACTCATGGGCCTGTGTGTCATAACTTCCTCCATGTTCATGTGTATCCAAATAGCCAGCTTAAATATCTTAAACAGCAAAGAACAACTCTGAATGACTTCAAAAACTGGTGTCACATTAATTTTCAAAACCTTCTTTTACCTCTGGTGGCATAAGACATCCTAGGAGGCAGAAGTGTCACATGTTCTAGCTATTTCAGGCTGCGATATCGTCAGCTTTCTTGACTGACTTGTCTGCGTTACTTAGATTTTCATGGCTAACATGATGGTGCGTCAGTGGCACAGTGGTTAGGAATCTCGCCGACTGTGCACATGGTCCGAGGTTCGATCCCCTGCCAACGCACACCTGATATCAATGGTCGGCCTGCAAAATTTGGGCTACCGACATCACATGCTGAAAATTTCATACTTGTACCAAAAATACGGTGTGGAATCAAGCTATAATCAAAAAAATAAAAAAATTTTATTGAACATCGATGATACTATGAAGGCAATGTGCGTGAAATAATTGGGTCTCCGCGTAGCTTCTGCTTTTAATGCATAGATTCCATACTACTATAATATGACAAAGCACGATTTTATGCATCGTACACACCTGCCGATAGGCGATGGATTATCTAACTTAGTTCAGAAATGGTAAATTTCGTGTAGGGTCAGATAAACTTAATGAACGTTGACGAGTTTTCGTTGATCGGTAAGAGTGATACAACTTACTAGGTATACAAAATGTCGAATTTTCCCTAACTTTCATTTAGGTTAATAATTTAAAAATCAAAATTTATTATTATTGTTATTAGTCCCGATTCTCTTGCAATATTGATTCGTTTGGTTTTAATGATCACATAAGGATCGATGTAGAGTGATAGGGTTTGATCCGTTTAAGACAGCAACTTGATAGGTTTAACTGCTTTTCAATTGCCAATCAAACTGAATGCTCAGGAGTCATATCTGACCTGAAATGTCATTGTGATTAGCAAAACAACTTTGAACCAGCATATGAGCTAGTAGTTTAATATTAGCATGGTTACTTGCCACCCCTGGAGGTCTGAATTAGACTCACTCACTCCTTGTTCTCTTGCCAGTAGTAAGTCCGGAAAAGGGAGACAGTTGAACGTGAGGCTATCAATCCTGCCTCATTGCAAAGCAGCACCATTGCTACAGAAGATTCAAGGCTGAAGATCAAAGATCTATGTTCCACTAAGAACGCAGGTAAAAGAAATAAAGGAAAACACTGGGACCTAGAGATGCAGAGAATAATCTTAGAGTAAATAAAAAGCTTTCTGAAAACTGTTTATGATCACTGTACATTACTCTCATACGTAACGTACTGTACGTATGAGTGCTAACAGGTAATACACCAGTGTTAAACAGTAATTCTAGCCAGGTGATAAGTAATATCCAAAACAGATTCACAATCGACATCTCCAGTCTACTATTATTATTGTTCCCGTGAGTTCCTAGTGGAACACACGGGCTTCAACTGCACATCTCCACTTGCTTCTGTCTTCTGCTGTACTTTTCACTTGCATCCATGTTAGTCCATGCTGTTTCAACTCCTCTTCACACGATCTCCTCCATGTCAACCTTAAACATCCCACTCGCTGATTCCCTTTCGGGTTCCACTCGAGTGATGGCCTCACGCGCGATGTCACCCAGCGGCCTCCTCAGTGAGTGTCCAATCCATCTCCACTTTCTCCTGCATATTTGTTGGGCGATTGGTTCTTGTTTTGTTTGTTCCCATTGTTTCTTGTTGGTGGTTCTTTCCGGTCATCTGATCTTCAGTATAGAACGAAGACAGATGTTGGTAAAGGTCTGCAACAGTCTACATAACTATTTATAAAAGAAGTGAAATTTCTAAACGTTTTGAACATGCATACCTAAACTCTGTCTACTTCTCCCTACTATCCTACTATTTTCGTCGGTCTCTCTGAGGTTAATTACATTCAAACACCAATTAGTAAAGGAAGAATTTTCTTTTCGTTAATTTCTTCAGGATAATTATTACTGAAGACATTTTCCTAGACCTACATCGAATGATTCAGATAAAACTTCCAAGAGGTATATCAGAATAAGTAGTTAATAGATTACATTTCAAAATGTGTCCATATGATTATTAGTATTCCTTCAATTTCCGAGTGGAACATGGTACTTCAACAGAACATCTCCATTTGGTCCTGTTTTCTTCAGTCCTCTCCAGATTGCTCCATGATTCTCCATAAGCTCTCCCCTCCTCCACACACGATTTCCTCTATGTCATCCTCAGGCCCATACCCAATATGTCGTTCCCCGACCCTGTTTTATTCTAGTGGTGGCCTGGCGAGTAACTTCACTCATTGGCCTCATCAGCTCATGTCCTATCCACCTCCAATCCCTTCAACATATTTGCTACGGAATAGTTTGCTGTTTGGTTTGTTACCAGAGTTCCTTGTTGCTGGCAATCTGGTCAAGTCAGCCAAGACAGCTGTTGATGAAAATCTGCAAGCTGTTGGAAGTGCCTTTTGTGACACGCCATGTAGTTGAATCATACAGAATCACTGGCTTGACATTAGTGACGGAATTTTGAATCTTGCCCTGTATGCTTAGTTGTAGCAGATTTCCACACTGATATCAGAGTGTTGCTTTTCGGATCTCGCCTTGTACATCCACATACGTTTCACCGCCTTAGTTGAAATGATGCTGACCAGATAAGTGGAGGAAGATGTGTTTATGGTAGCATACACGAATATAGCGCTAAATTGAACGTCAGATTCTGAAATGAATGATGCTGAATAACAGTCAGTGTGTTCTAAGACTCATAATTAATGTTCTTAGGGAATTTTATTCAATCTGATCATAAACTTTATATGAAACAGGGAGCAGCGATGAGGTGGAATGTTGTGTGTGTATGGGTGTGTAAGTAAGTAAGTAAGTGAAAAAGGTTATCTTAAGAATATAAAAGGTTTATTCATACAACAGTGAAGATACATAAATGAATGAATCAGAGGAAATATTACTGAAAAAAACGATAAATAAGGGAAGTAGGGGTGAAATGTGTGCATGGAGAATGAAAGGTCATACGTGAAATGTTTGAAATGATTCTGTACTTGTAAATAGTAGCTGGACTTATTGCTTCGCATACAAAGTCCTGAACCCAGTAATTGGTAGCATTTGATAATTTACTGGTTACATGATAAACAAAAGAACAAAGTGATTCTTCAATACTGGCCTTATCGTGGTATTACGGAACTGTCAGTGTTTTCATTAGACCTTTACTTAGCACAGAGAATCAAATTCCTAGAGGAACCACCAATGTAAGTAATACCTTCAGTAGCGGTTGGATTAACAGATGCAGAAAAGGGTGTCTGGCAACGATAAAATCCTCGTCAACCATGCCTGTGGTTCAGTATGTAATCCCCAGCCAGCGCACACCCTCGCTACTCTTAGTTCTCTGTAAGCCTAACAGTGAGGGAAGGTTGGGGGTGGGGCTAGCAACTCTAACCCTTAAAAACGAAACCATTGCTACCGAAACTTGGAAACCTATGTTACACTTGGAAATCAAAGGAGTAAAGTAAATAATAAGCTGGCATGATGATCTGGGGTAAAACCAAAATCTGGGATGCGAAAGCATTTGAATTAATGGCCCCAAGTTTGCTATTCTGAAACTCTTCAAGATGGTCTACAAGGACTGAGTGTTAGGTCAGGTGATTATTTAAACTGGAGGCATCACGGGTAATGCACAGCTTGTTTGAATCCTACCGCTGGACAGACTCTCATTCCACCTTCATTCATCATCCATTATGCCAGTACGAATCATCTAACCTAACACTGTCTCAGATATTCACCCCATTAGTGTTTTTATTTGTTTATTAATGGACTTTCAACTGACCTATCCACTACGCATCTATTTTATTTGTCTATATATATTTTAGATGTATGCCTAAAACGGGAGTGTCGATTTGGAGCAGTCTGTGAAGAATGGTTATCGAAAGAAACAAACCAGTATATTGGTGTATGCGTTTGTCCAACACTCATAGATATGGCAAAAAATCATATGTGCAATATGAACAGTGGTACAATTTGTACAACAAATGGTTTATTTTACCTAAATGAATGCGTTATGCTACATCAAGCGTGTTTAAAACAAACTGAATTGAAACCAATGAATTTGAATATATTTAGTAGAATACTATCTCAAAGTGATTGTAGTCAATTAATTGAAAGTAAGTAATTTGAATGGTTTACTTATCAAGCAGTTATGTTTTAATTGTTCTCTAGCTGATATTAGTTGGTGGTCACACTTGAAAAACAAATCAAATCCCTGCAAACTAACTGTATTGACCGCCTACAGGAGGAATTTACCGGGAGTTCTAGTGAGAAGTGAGGTCCCTCCGGTCAGGAGTGAGGACAAATACTAACTGATAACACTGGCTGGTGGTCACGCCAAAATCACAGATTGGTAAGAGTTAGAATTCACGAGCTGGCCGTTGAGTCGGGTTCCAGTGGCTGAATGGTATAAGAGCTTGACTTGTAACAAGAAAGTCCTGGGTTTGAATCTCTGTGGTGGGTTCTTAGTGGTGATAGGTTCCAAAATAAAATGAAGCAGTTGTCCAGTTATGTTTCTGATTAATCATATTTAGAATACAGCTTCGTCTCATTTGGATCCCATCAGCTGATGATGTTTTCTTGTTAAACTTGAAGGCAGGAGCCAAGGTTTTAAACATTGGATTGGTACTCAGTGGGATTGTGAGCCACGAAAACCACTACTTGTGCAATAGGTATTTTCTGAGTTCCCCTTTTTTGGTTGCTTTTATTGAAGGGAAATACTATACCTCTCAACATAATCACTGTACGAGAGCAGGTTCTTATGGGATTTCCCCTGACTTTTCCCCAAGAGATACAAGGAGAAAGTCGTGAATAAAGAGGGTGTTTGGTATCAGACAAGATGACTCAAGCTAATTGCTTGCAACAATTAAAATGCCTACTCAATAAGTACAATGTCAGTTAAGCGAGTCATTGCCAAACCACTAACTCTACGTACAACCTTCAATGCTCTGCATAGTAAGGTATAGTCTTTCTTGAAATGTCCATGGAAGAATGAGAGGAGACAATTGGGAAGAATGGGTAGAATACATGAATTATTAAATTGCGAGAGAAGAGGTTGAGTTCTGATGCCAGAATGACTCAACTTCTCTACGTAATAGGTCAAAGGAAAACCTTTTTAGAATTCAACAAGACATGAGACGACCAAAAGGAATTCGAAGAGAAACTGATGTTAGGATGAGAGATATTCGATTTACTCCCTATCATAGTGCCATCGATATTACATGCATCATGAGACGGAATCAGTCCACTCAAGTTTTGTTCTCGACTGAAGCTGAAACCAACAGTGTGAAGGAATTTAGTTTAAGACCATTTGCTTGTCTTAGCGTCCCAAGGACTCTATCCAACAAGGAAATCCACACTTCCCAGTTTTTCTCAAACGCTTAGTCAAGGACTTCTTGGATCCATTCCATGTTTTAATATGATCACTCATAATTCTTTTTGAATCCACTACTATGTTAGCTAACACTGTAAGACGAGGAAGGAGGAGGATTAGCATCCATGGCACATGTTCTAGTCATCTCAATTAATGCAACTTCACAGGCTAATCCACTTACTTCTCCTGTCTACGCCCAACGCTAATATTACTCACCGTATTATTTCAACTTAGCACCTACACTTCCGCTTTTTAGATACTTTAATCAATATTAAAAAGTAATTATGCGTCAATTAAACTTTGTCTGTTTATTTAGTAAAAAAAATTATTGGGCGAAATTTATGCCTTTTATATTTATATAATTCTTCCCAACACGATGAAAAAATAATAATAATAGTGAATCAAGTATTTTATAATATTTCTCTCTGGGAGTTGATACCCTTGAAATTTAATTTCAAAACAACAAGAAAGAAACGAACATTACTCAAAACATACAAGAAGTATGGGGAATTATTCCATGTAGGAACAAAAAAAGTAGCTCAACTTCCTGTCATTCAACAAAAGATGAGTAATGAAATTACAGAATATCTGTCTATCAGTTGAGAATTCAACATCTGGCATGAATCACACCTACCGTTTACTGGCACTGTGCTTCCTCTAACCCACCCACTCTCACACACACATCATCTCTTTCCATGATCACGATAATAGATTTTTTGTTTCCTTTTGGGTGGAACATTTGAAACATTAATATGTATATTTAAAAAGGATGGCAAAGGATAAAATAAATGACTAATAGGATCATTGTCGACTATGACTGTCTTTATTGTTCTCTTTCGGTTCCTTGTGGAACATAGGGCTTCAATAACACATCTCCTTTTGTTAAATTCTCTGCTGTGCTCTTTAGATGGCCCTTTATTATATTATTATTGTTCCCTTGGCTTCCTAGTGAAACATCTCCACTTGCTTCTGTCTTCTGTTGTACTTTTCACCTGCATCCATGTTAATCCATACTGTTTCAACTCCTCTTCACACGATCTCCTCCATGTCACCCTTGCACCGACGAACCACTCGCCGCTTCCCTTTCGGGTTCCACTCGAGGGCCTGGCCTGACGCGCGATGTCACCCAACGGCCTCCTCAGCGAGTGTCCAATCCATCTCCACTTTCTCCTGCATATTTGTTGGGCGATTGGTTCCTGTTTTGTTTGTTCCCATAGTTTCTTGTTGGTGATTCTTTCCGGCCATCTGATCTTGAATATAGAACGAAGACAGTTGTTGATAAAGGTCTGCAACAGACTGTTGGAAATATTCTTTGTGACCCACCAAGTTTCTGATCCATATAGAAGAGCTGACTGACTTGACGTTTGTATTGAAAATCCAAATTTTGTTGTTGATGCTGAGTGACGAAGATTTCCAGATTGGTTTCAGGTTGATGGATGTGTTTCTCGCCTTCCCGATTCTCGATTTGACATCCTCGTCCCTCCGTTCCTCCTGTAGTTGAGAGTACGGCCCCCTAATTGTCCATATTTTCTAATCTCCTCCTCACGCAATCTCCTTCATGTCAGCCTCAGACCTTGCCTAGGTTACTAGCTCGCTAGTTTTCTAGCCGATCTCAATGCTGAGGAAAGAGGGAGGACTGGGCGTGAGGCTAGCGACTCTGCCCCGAAAAATCAATCATACTGCTACAGGAAATTCAACGCAGAAGAGAAATATTAAAAATACAGAAAATTTTAAAAACAAACTTATGTTTTGCTGGAATCCGAGGGGCAAAGTGATGCGGGCGGGAAGCCAGTCAGCCAATATGTTTTATTTCGATGAAAGCAAAAATAAGAATAGGGACGTGGAATGTTCGTACAATGTATGAAGCTGGAAAGTCTATAGGTAGCCAAAGAAATGAGATTCACATTGACTGATACTCAAAAAATGTGTATGTAAACACACTGAGTATATATTGAAACTTATACTTCTTTAATACATTCATGATTTATAAATAGTCACAACGATTTCTTACGCATTATTTTTTATAAGTTGTTGGTTGTCAGTTTGGGAACATAAGACTTCAAGCTTCAACGTATCAGCAGCCGGTTGAGTGCTAGCCTTACGCCTGACCATTCTTCTTTCCAGGGCTTAGTATTGGTTAACTGAGGCTTAGTAGTGGTTAAAATCGGCCCTGGACCATGTACATCGCTGGCCAGCACTCTACTACTGAACTACCGGCAAGCTCTATTAGTGACTTATTTCGTTCTCTAAACTGGCGAACCGTGTCATAGTGCGTGTAAACTGGTAGGGGGTGCTAAAGCATATGTAGTCCTTAGGAAGACTTAATATCTGTCCATTTGGAAGTGGAAGTTTGCATCTCTCCTCGTATTCAGACCAACCTATCCAGCTAACTTTACAACTCACGGTAACACTGTACCACAAAGTCTGGTAATTGCATATCACACATTGAAAGAGAAATTTCATCAAGGACTTACGACTCAGTAGTTACGTTGAACTGAGGTCCTGATTTGCAAATCATATGCTTTGAGATGACTCATTTCTCTGAGTTGAGTCTAACCGGGTGCATGGTCGACTTTTCCCTCCCTGAACAAGGGAAACGACAGTTTGGTACTCAGGCTACTGTGATCAGCTGGCAAGCACTCTTGTGTTTTTGTGTGATTGGCCTTGGACTACTCATATAAATCAGTAGTATATACGATTTCGTGAATGGTTTTGGTTTTCACTATCCAAAAGTTTACTCATCAGTTTCTGCATGATGAGAGTATTTGCTCCATATGTAGTCTTGTAGTTAATTATTTCTTCCTGGCCAAACCAAAGAGGAAACTATTCGTATTCATTCACAATTGTATCACTTAGGTTTCATGAAATTCTACCTACAATACTGTATTAGTTTGGTATTAGATGGTTGGAGGCAATCGGCAAGAAGCCTTGGACCTAGGTTTCGTGCTAGTTGGCACTCATCAGCAAGGCGTATCTGCAACCTTGAAGGAGCTGATGTCCCTTCTGAGATTCGAACCCACGTCACCCAGTGCTGCAGTCAGAGACGTTACCAATGAGCTATTCAGGCTCGCGACTGACCTCCTGTAGGTGACGTGGGTTCGAATCTCAGGAGGGACATCAGCTCCTTCAAGGTTGCAGATACGCCTTGCTGATGAGTGCCAACTAGCACGAAACCTAGGTCCAAGGCTTCCTGCCGATTGCCTCCAACCATCTAATACCAACAATTAACAGTGCACCGTAATGGCGAGCTACCTAGCATGGTGGCCACATTGCAAACATGACTGATAGAATTCAATCTGCACCGAAGATAGAACTAGACACATTACACTTGTTACTGACTAGTGTGCAATCAAAAATACTGTATTAGTTTCAACCGAAATGCTAGAGTCACAATACTGGTTCCCCTGTAGTAACTAATCAGTATATCCATTGCAGTTTAACAAGAGGTCAACTTGGGCGAATAGCCTAGTGGTAACGTCTGTGGGTATCATTTGTTGATACTAACACCAACCTCCGAAGAGAGGTATCACGCAAATAAATGCGAAACCTAAGCCCATAAATTCTTGCCGGTAGTCTTAAACCACCTAGCAATACCTTTCTATTGGTTAGTGAAGACAAATACAAGAAATTCTTAGATTACGACTTTAAACAGTTTCTCTGTAAGCAGCTTTATACAAGTCGAAATAAATAGCCATGTCATCATTAAACCTTAGTGAGTGGGAACATTACTTACAAGGTTGAATGAGTGATTTCGTGAACGATTATGTTTTTCACTATCCAAAGGTTTACTTATCATTTTCTGCAAATTTGTTATATACACCTAAATAATGTCAGTATATTTCTTTAATTCTGTGTTAATATGAAGCATATCAACTAATTTAAATTTTTTTATTAAAGAATACCTACTAAGTGATGTTGGATGGATATTTAGTTTGTTGATTGATTTCTACCTTTTTAAATCTCTCTCTCTCTCTCTCTCTATATATATATATATATATATATATATATATATATATATATATATAATGTGACACTCTTGTGATTGCTATTTTGAACTGTCGATTCAAGACAGTGAAAGCCCTGTACTCAACGGTTTTTCTCCTTCCTTTCTTGTGTCACTTGTCAGTGGTCTGATGCTGTGGTGGTTGTCGTTGCGAATATTGATTAGAACAGTGGGTTGGCAAATCTACTAGTTGTATTGATGGTCAAATTAAAATTTTAAAAAAAAACTCAGCTATTGTGAAAAAACATGTACTTTATTAATTGATAAATTTCTGTAGGACTCTTTATCTGAATACTTTAAAACCTGATTATTTATGACACTTCATAAGATTGACATGCAAACAACAGATAAGCATGGATTCGCATTCTGCCTATTATTCTCTATTGTTCCCCCTTAGTTTTTCCCGGGCTACTGAAGAAAGACTATAACATATTACGCAGGTTGTTAAAGGTTGTCAGCAGGGTAATCAACGTGCCACTTAACCAGCTTGGTAATATTCTGGTCGACAGGCACATGGACTCATGTGAAAAATGGGCCAAATCCATCTTATCTTACTCAAATCACCCTCTTCACTCACAACCCTCTCCTTGCATCTCATCAGGCAGGACCAGAAGCCTATATAGAAAACTATATGCTCGCACCAGCAAGTACAAAAACTCAACCCTACCTCACTTAACTCGTGTTCTGTGCGATAAAGAAAGCATTAGGCGTGACACCTAAAATTCATTAAATAGTCAGTAGTACAACTGGATCTCGTCTTTCCAACTCATATCATTTATAGGTACAACATTTTCTTTCTTTCTTTTCCTTTTCTCTCTCTCTCCTTTTCCGTTATGTGGTGCTTTGTTTCTTTCTCTCGCTTACGCCAGTAAGTATGACAGCACCTACTTTCTTAACACCTTCAAACACTGTTCAACTTTGGCTTTACTACTGACATGCCAATATGTTGTTTTCATAATGAACTGAGATTTCCTTAATCTATGTAGAGTTCTATTTATTGATAATGTACTAATCTGGATGCAATACTGTAGTAAAAATGCTGAGAATTCCATTCTGTATCACAAGTACTGCTTTGGAATAAAGCAAATTATTATTATTATTATTTCAATAAATATGTGACCGATGAACTGTCGGTGATAATCTTACTTGTAGAGTATTCAGTTAAACAATTCTGCCTTAATATATGAATCCATCAAATACGTGTTTTTTCACGATTGTTGCTTGTTTTAAAATATGTGGTGTATTGTTACTATTTTGGTGACTGGTAATCTCAGTCTGATAGATATATACATACATATATTTTGTTTGCATTTCTTTCTGTACCTTAGAAACATCAGTTACAATCAACAGTCATGTATCACTGAGAACTACGCCTAAGCCTCAGTCGAATCCCCCAAAAGCCGACAACAGTAATATTCAACTAACACCGTCTTCAAATCTACCGAAGACGAAGACAGATGAAAAACCACAACAAGACTCACCATCACTTCAACAACCTTCTCAACTAGTCAAGGTGGACTATAATAACAATGGTGGAAATAATAATCAATACGCCTGTCCGACTAGAACATGTCCAAATGACTTGAATCCTGTTTGTGATTCTGATGGTGTAATGTATGCAAATGACTGTCTTTTGAAAAAGTATACATGTCGAAAATTCGGGAATTTTAGACCGGCTGCAAGTTATCCTTGTGATTCAAAATTTCAGCGATGTAAGTTTATCTAAGGCATTATAATGCTAATTTTTTCTCTATTATGCTTTTAATCAAATATTCTTGATTAAAATAGTGTGAAAGTTTACTTTGTATCGATGAAGCACTGATAGAGAAGATTAGAAGTTCGTGAGTGGCAGTTAAAGAGGATCCACCAGTCGCAACCAGTCCGCAAGTACGCCTTACTTAGGCGAGTGCCAATGGTCAGTGGGGAGTCTCTCCCGGCAGAAGTGATAAAAAACTAAGAACTAAACCATTGGCAAATCAGTGCGTCAAACAGAGTCCTGCAGGGAGTCACATATAATCCAAGTAACTGTATGGTAACATTTATAGAGCCAATAGTTCACTGGTGGAATCCATGCCAACTACACACGTGGCACGGGTTCGATTCCCAGGTAACGTACTCCCTAGCCCCCTCCCCTAGCAGGTAGATAGCCCGGTGAAGAGGAAATGCTGGGCATGATGCTAGCAGTCCCACCCAGTAAGAAAGATTACTACTACTACTGAAACTTTGAAGCTCAAGCGTGAAGGTGTATATTCCACTCGGGACACAAGAAATCAGAATAGTCTGTAGCAAGACCATTAAGCGATGTGGGTGTGAGCCCTGAGCGAGACGTCGCTTTCTTTCTGGCTGACATGTATCAATAAATTCCACATCTACTTTCACAGACTCCTGTTGATTGTCTTCAACGATTTAACAAACCGAATACTGATCGACAGCAAACTTTTGGGAGAATCCAAGTACACTCCCATCTCTAGTCAATTCGTTTTTAACAGCTTGTGAAATTATCTATATGAAGAATGATGTAATATAGTCCACATCCTTTTTAGTGCTGTTTACTTCGTTGCACACATTACACAAACAAATCTGCTGGACAGGTTGAATAATAATCAGTTGCACCTGTTCCTTGCCAATTGAAGATGACATTTCATATTAATAATGCATTAGGCGAAATTTAGATTTTCAACCTAATTACCTGCAGCTGTAACGATATGAGACTTAACCAATCAATAGGCTTTTTTAAAGCCAATTAAATAATCAATATCTTATTTTAAATATATATGTATATATATTCTAAACTATGAAATTATTTATTGTGGTTTGTGGCCTTTCCTCTAATGGAGTCAATAAAACACACAAAATGGCTTTTGTTTGTGGTTTACACCAAAATAGGATTTTATAATAAAATAGTTTCTACACTGACTTGGATAATGACTTTATACACCCGACAATGGTTACGTAACAATAGCAACAGTAGTTAAAGCCTTTCAATGAGGCGATTACAATATCAGTGGTTATTGCTAAACAATAGCTTATAAGGTGGATATATGAAAGCCTAACTTTCATAGTCTATTCAAGTATTAGTTTGTAGAGATTCGGTTGATTGGTTACAGGATTTCATCATGAGCTGACATTGGTTAGAGAACCATTGGAAAACCTGGGAGTACTGGACAGCTGTTTCATCCTAGTTTGGGACTTTCCAGCAGTACGCACCCACCACCGGGGTTCGAACCCAGGACCTACTGGTTACAAGGCGTGCTAACTCGTAGACCATTAAGCCATTGAGACCCGGTCCAATGGCCAGCTCATGAATTCTAACTTCTGCCAATTCACGATATAGCGCAACCGCTAGCCAATGTCTTCGGCGAGTATTTATCCTCACACCTGACCTGCTGCACCCTACTGGTCATGACTTCCATAGTCTATCTTTGTGTAGAGGCAAAAACTGTAGAAACCACCATTTAACACAGTAGTTTGACTTACTCAACTGAATTTCGAAAACAAATATTATTAATCGTGGTATACATGACAGACTGATATATACGTAATGAGAATTCAAACAAAGAATTTACAGTAGTTTAAATGTTCCCATTTACATTTTGAGAAAAGACAACAAATTGGGCGAAGATTTGTATTCCTTCTGGATTAGTGTTGAATAATTGTGTGTTATGTGAAATGAAATTGTTTAATGTATATAATTATATTTGTTGTCCCTATACACTAATTTCCCACATGAACGGTTCTACACTAAAATGTAATTTTCAAGTATTGGTTTTGTAGGGAATTTTGTTTAATTGGCTGGATGATTTCATCTGGTATGACGCTCACTAGCGACAAGCCCTATTCAAGCAGTTACCTGGGGTTCTGGCGGGAAGCTGTGACCAGTCGAGTACAGTAAGTTGAAGGTGAGGCAGTAACTCATTGAAGAAGACACTGCGAAGTGGTCGCGCTATGTAGTGAATTGGCAGAAGTTAGAATTCATGGGCTTGCCATTGCATCGGGTCCAAGTGGCTTAATGGTCTACGACCTAGCTCGTCTTGCATCCAGAAGGTCCTGGGTTCGAACCCTGGTGGTGAGTGCGCACTACTGGAAAGTCCCAAACTAGGACGAAACGGCTATCCAGTACTCCCTGCAGGTTATCCAGTGGTTCTCTAACTGTATTTGTGAACTACTCCGAAATATGCAACCACCGGGACTCGAACCCCGGACCTTGCAACTACAAGGCGAACTCGTAGAATATTCAGCCACAACAATCCAATCCAGTGGCCCGTGAATTTCATCTTCGTCCAACTCGCTAGATATTTTGACCTAACTGTTGTCTTACCTGACTTGCTGGAACCCACTGGTTACTACTGCTGACTAGAACTCCAGTTAACTTCCTGCATAGAGCCGGTCGCTAGTGAGCGTCAGAATTATTATCAAGAACTGGTTTGCAGGGATTTGATTGGTAACAGGTTTGAATACGAGGTGACGACACTGGCTGGTGGTTGAGCTATATATATATGTGGTTAAGTATAGGTGTTGACAAGAGTTCTGTATTAGATCTTCCTCTATCATCCATCGGATTTCGAATAAATTACCAAATGCCTCTAGATACCAAACACTTCAAACATGAAAGGCCAGTGCAATTCACCTAGATAAACTGGAGCTCTGAGGGCGGAAGTAACATATGTAGCCATTATCGTCATCTTGGCCTACTCTATAACCTATAAATTCATAAATTCTCTATTACTTCTCTTAATTTATCTGATATTCATTCATTTTAGTGTTGTTATTATTAATGCATATTATCTCTCCCCTACTGATGCTTTCGAACTATAATCACCTATCGATACTATTTTTTATTTCTCTACATTCCCAGCGGAACATAGGGCTTGAAGTTGAAGGACTTGAAGTTTCTGTTGCAGTAGTGTTTATTTTTACAGGATGTGGTTGCTAGCCTCATGCCCAACCTTCCCTCTTTACCATTCTTACTACTGGCCTAGCGAGATAAAAGAGTGCGTCGGTCGGGGGATTGAACCCGGACCACATGAGTGGTCGGATAGCACTCCACCACTGTACCAACGACTCACGATTGATTCAGTGTAATTTAAAATAGCATTAATGTTGTTAATAAATATATTTCTTTGATTATTACTGTCATGTAAATGTAGGTGCTGACAGAGAATTTATGGTTCGCCAATCAGTCTTTACTCATAGAATTACTCGATACAGCATTGACTAGTAAACATATTACTACTGTTAAAAAATTCTGAAATCTGTTGAAAACTTGAATCTCAGCAGGACATAAACAATAGATTTTATCACTTACATATGAGGCTGACTCCATTTCAGTTATATTCAACAAGAAGACGTCAGTAGAGATGGTATATTTAGCATGCGAGTCGCGAATTTTCATTTATTCTCATTTATTCATTTGTCAAATATGCTGACGACCTGACTGTATCTTTGCCTGTCAAAAGTCGAAGTGACTGCTCTAAACTTAATGGCTTTCTGTCAGAAATCAGCCAGTGGTCCAAGGAAAATAATCTCACCTAAAACCCCTCCAAATACCAAACAGTCAATTTCACCTTTAAGCATAAATCCGACCTAAACAAACTATTTGGCTCTTACGAGGTATGCAACATAGACGGCACTGAAATAGAAACCAAATCGGAAATTAAATATCTTGGCGTCATTCTATCTGCTGATCTTTCCTGGTCGTCTCATATCTTGGCGATTTCTAAGAAAATATTCCGTCTTACCTTCTACATCAAGAAGTTAAGACATTCTGGTATAACCCAAACCTTACTCCTACAATTCGTTAACTCTCGCATACTGCCTATTATTCTCTATTGTTCCCCTTAGTTTTTCCTGGGCTACTGAAGAAAAACTATAACATATTATGCAGGATGTTAAAGGTTGTCAGCTGGGTAAGCAACATGTCACTTAACCAGCTTGGTAATATTCTGGTTGACAGGCACTTGGACTCATGTGAAAAGTGGGCCAAATCCATTTTATCTAACTCACATTACCCTCTTCACTCACAAGTCTCCCTTTGCATCTCATCAGGCAAAGCCAGAAGCTTATATAGAAAACTATGTGCTCGCACCAGCAAGTACAAAAACTCAACCATACCTTACTTAGCTCGTGTTCTGTGTGATAAAGAAAGCATCAGGCGTGACACCTATAACTTATCAAATAGTCAGTAGAACAACTGGATCTCGTCTTTCCAACTCACATCATTTATAGGTACAACATTTTCTTTCTTTCTTTTCCTTTTCTCTCTCTTTTTTTCCCGTTATGTGCTGCTTTGTTTCTTTCTTCCGCTTACGCCAGTAAATATGACATCATCTACTTTTCTAACAACTTCAAACACTGTTCAACTTTGGCTTTGCTACCAACATGCCAATATGTTGTTGTCATAATGAACTGAGATTTCCTTAATCTATGTAGAATTCTATTTATTGATAATGTACTAACTGGATGCAATACTGTAGTAAAAATGCTGAGAATTCCATTCTGTATCACAAGTACTGTTTTTGAATAAAGCAAATTATTATTATTATTTGACTGTGTTTCGTACAACCACTTTGAACAAAGAAAGAATTAATCAATTTGCAGGATAATACGAGCTCATCTTATTTCGTGGATTCTCTTCAACTGCCTACATCCTAAACAAAATCAAATTATAAGTCAACATACTTTCTACAACGGCTTCGAGGTATAAATGGAAAGT